GAAACTACTATTTAGGGCTTAGGGATTAGGATACACAGGTGTTTTATTACCCGAATAAATTTCCCAAATGGACCTTTAGATCAGCCCAACATGTGTCAGGGAGCTTCTCTGGAAAAACGGTCGTGTAAATCGCTAGAACATCCCAGCGCCCATGTCATTCCAGGTGGTTTTTCATTATCCGTTCAGCTCCGCACCCTATGTAACCTTATGAGCCCCTATATAACCCCTATGTAATCCCTATAGCCCGTAACCCTTAAGCTTACCCCTAAACCCCAAACCCTAAATCCAAAATCCTAAACCCCAAAGCCTGAACCCAAAAACCCTAAAGCCTAAACCCTAAAGCCTAAACTCTAAACCCAAACCCTAAAGCCTCAAACCCTACAACCCAATGACATGAAGCCAACCTTGCCCAGCTTGCGCCGCTCCCGCTGCCGTGCGCGCTTGGCGGCCCGTGCCCCGCCGGACTGCGCCTGCCTGGCGAACTTTGAACTGGGGTTTAGGGTTTGGGGTTTGGGGGACCCCCAGCACCCCAAAACTACGGAGGTCCCTTTTTTGCTCGACACACCTGTGAAATGGCTTCTACGGTAGGAGTTTGGGGTTGAGAGTTCAGGTTCTTTTGAGGTTTAGGGTTCAGGGTTCAGGGTTTAGGTTGCAGAGTTCATTGTTGAAGGTTGAGGGTGTACTGCTTCTATAGCTAGCTCCTATATTGCGACGAACTCAAAAAAATACCTTTCTGCTCCTCATTGGGCTTAAGTCAAATGACATACACAAGATTCGTATTCAACAAGGATCTCTACGGGTTGGGGTTAAGGGCTCAGGGGTCTTTAGTCATGTTACACCACCACAAGAATCGATCAATGGCTCTAAGTGTGGGGCCGTACTGTAAACATCTGAAATGAAATTTTGAGGAAAAACATACTGCAGTTGCATAGGTTATATGAGGGCATGGTACTAGAACATCGAATGGGGTTTTGGGCTACATTACACTCTAATCAGAAGAGGACGTAAAGGAATAAAGTTTGCTATTATTCGGCCTCTACAGTCCTAGCACGTGTGGCTACATGCACATAAAACCTCATAGTTGTTTTATATAGGAGTACATGCACACACATATATATGTATATATATGTCTATATGTATGTAGTATATATATATGTTATATGTGTATATATATATATATATGTGTATGTATATATATGTGCCTCAGATTTGCATGCGTGTGCACTGTGGACAAAGGGCTATGCATGCTCGCCTTGTGTCCAAGCCTACATAGCCACCCTGAATCCCCCTAAACAACTACTATGGTAATGGTTTAGCCCGCTTTAGCTGCATAATGCAGACGGGGCACTGTCCAAAATTATATTCATGACAGAATGACCTCTTCACGGAAATCCAAAGCTCCTTTCGCGAACACCATCACGAGCTTTCGCAGAAGCACGTTTGATGAAACCCTCAACTCCAAAACCCAACCAGTAAGACCATAAAGCCAAAACCGAATCTCAGCAATTATGTCGTCTCGCACGGCTTGCAATGCTGGCGGCTTGCTCGGCTTACGCGACCTTTCGCGGATGTTTCGCGGGTCTTTCGCGGATCTTTCGCGGATTTTCAGGCAAGAATTCTGAGACTCAGCCTCAGAAAGACTTGCAGCCCTTTCACCTTTGAGCATGCCTGGAAGCATGCCTGCAGACTGCAAGAACGGAAATGTATTTGAAAGCAACTGAGGAACTATAGGTTACGATACTTCTCTCGCGAAATCCAAAGTTCCTTTCGCAAACACCATCGCGACCTTTCGCGGAAGGCCTTCTAAGCCAGCCATGGTCGTTTTATATGAAAACTTCAACATGGGGTTTTCGGACGATGCCCATATAACCCCAATGTACCCTATAATCCCAGTTTCCATTTGATGTTCCATTTTCTTTTCCATTTGATCATCCATTATTGGGGTATAATACCCCTAACCCCTAAACCAACACTATATACCCTAAACCCTAAACCCTAAATAGTAGTTACGATTTTCTGTTCCATTATCCCTATATACCCCAACATAAAACCCTAAACCCTAAATAGTAGTTTCCACTGTATTTTCCATTATCCCTATATACCCCAATATAATGGATTTTTCGGATGCTACCCAGCTGACGTCTTGATTGCCTTGTCAGTCTGACACCCTGAAACCGAAGAGTTTAGGGTTTAGGGTTTAGGGTTCAGGGTTTAGGGTTTAGGGTTTTGGGTTCAGGGTTTAGGGTTCAGGGTTTAGGGTTTGTCCAGGGTGGCTACACAGTCCAAGCTCGAAAGCGGGGGCAAAAGGCACGCGCTGCAAAGCAAACATCTCGAATGTTTAAAGCACTTGGGGGCTTCTCAACATCAAGGGTCCTTCACCAATATGTATACACATATATTTTTTGTGGGAGGTTATAGGAGTTGTGAAGAGACAGCCTTAGAAAACACACAGACTATGTACTTTTACGAGAAACTACCACTGGAAATTTCAAAACCCTTTACAGCCCCAAGCTGAGGGGTGCCCTATTATGGGGATTTGGGATACAGAAAGGGCACCCCTCCATTTTGTTGATCCGTAATTCCATCCGTAATCCCATTCTACATGTTCCCAAACCCCTGCAACCTACTCCGAATAAACAATTCATAGAACTTTCCTGACAAAGAAACTTGCGCGTCTCTCAGATCACAAGGCTGCACTTCTGAGGCCGACGCTCCTCTTTGTCAGCCTCTCCAGGCTCATCGTCCTCTTCAGGCCTCCAGGCAGATGATGATGCTTGATTGAGGGTTCAAGAGTGGCCGAAGCACAGCCACAAACTATCCATGGTTCTCCAAGTCTGCCATCATGATCCTAGTCTTCTTCTTCTGGCCCGCTGCTGCTGCTGCCACCAGCATTGTCATGAGAGATGAAGACAAAGAGGCGTATAAACCATTAAGGCATTTGCTAGCTGTCATCAGACTCATAGACCAAGAGATGTGGCTGAGACTCAGAGAAAACAGCAGTAGGGCGGCAATGGCTTTTCTGATGGCTGGCCCCAAGCGAAATTCCATCAGGTCAGCACACAGCAAAGCTATACACACTAGCTGTGGCCATGTTGAGGAGTGCCTACTCCATGAACGACCACGAAAGCAGGCCTTGCCTCAAGCTTGAGCCGAGGAATTATGTCCCTCAGACTTTCCGAACACAAGCTGTCGACCCATCTTGTCAAGGCGCTCATCTTCCCGTGCAGCTGCTCTAGAACTGCTTTTTGACTGCCGCCACCGGATACGCCTTCACAACCGTCTTAGCAG